ATCCGGTGCTCTGGCTGGGAATGAGGTCATCGCAAGAGCGAAGACGAATACCAAAATGGGTGCAAACTCATCATTTTCCACACCCTCCAATGGTGCTAGCCGCGGTGTTGGAGGTACTGCTTCAGCAGCACGAAAGACAGGATCGGGAGGCAGTGTTTCTTCGACATCAAAAGCTATCCCACTTCAGAGTCTTCCTACTCCTCAACCGCTCATGTTGGCAAAGGTGACGAATCCAAACTTAGCTGTCAAGGCATCTGCGTCTAATAACAGCAATGTTTCGAAAATTGTTGCTTCACAATCCACCTCTTGGGGTGCTGCCAAATCTACGCAGAGGTGCAATTTTGCGTCGGTGGCAGCAGCTGGCGCTATTTCGTCTTCTCAACAACAGCAGCAGTCGTCTGCGTCCAAGGAGTCGAAAAATCGAGCGAAATCATCTGCATCGACATCATCTCCATCCTCTCAGCAACAGCCATCAGCTCAATCAAATCCGGTTTCTCTACTCTCGGTCACCATCGCTGCTCTTTCGGAGTGTACCAAGAACGCTTCAATCTTCTCAACTGCTCCAATCTCTCTCTTGGATGAACAGAGTTTTCCACCACTATCAACCACTTCGGCTTGCATGGTGACGACCTCCACTACAGTAACGAACAAAGCAGCTGAGACTTCTCATGCTCCTCCACGTAAAATGAGCTTACCAACACTGCAGACGGAGGGCAGCCCATCGCTCTCTGCTCCCACTACTTCGCCACCTCTCGCTGCTCCAGCCTCTAGTACTGGTGCTGCGGCTCCAAGTAGCTGCGGTGGCATTGGTGGGTTGATGGACAAGAAGCCTCGTAAACAGTCCGAGTCCACGGCCATTCCAGGTTCTGGAGAAACCTCTACACTTCAGGCATCGAAACCACCTGTATCCCTCCCTCAACCTGCACCTATTGGCTCTTCTCGTCCATTTGCACGAGCACCAGGTTCGGAGCGGAGTGCTAATCGACATGCTGGACTTAGTTCAGCTTCCATTTCTGCTACGCCAGGCTTGGCTACCAGTTTGGCTGGAGCTACTTCGGCGAAACGAGTTAATCCGATAACAACCATGGCGTTTGGTGGTGGGGGAGGCACTGGTAGTGACAATGTTTTCATTGGACGTCCAAGTAATACCTCTGGATCCTTAAACCCATTGCCTCAACCACTTGTCACCGTAGAGAATCTGGAGGGGCTCTTTCCCACTTCCCAACAATCAATGCTTCACTCGGCCTCCACATCTATGAACCAGTTTGATGTGACTCCCAACGCTATGTGGTCCAACTTTGGAACTGGGGGTGGGAATGACACTCCTTTCTCTTCTTCCTATGACTATGTGGGTGGTCGTGGAGCTAACCCGGGCAATGCTTCGAACAACAGTGTTAATGCGAGTTCCAACTACGCAAGTCTTCTACAGAATCTGGGGATTCGTAATTTTGAGTCAATCGTGAACGCAGCAATGATGGAAGACAATATCTTTCCCCCTCATCTCCAATCAAGCTATCGTCTATCACAGCAGAGTCAGCTTGGACGAGGTGGGGGCGGAAGTGTTGCCTGCAAACCGAGTGGTACTTCTTCATCCACCACCGCCGCAGACTCATTCATGGCTGCAGCTTTTTCTAACGCCTCGAATCCAAATCGGGTCGGTGGCGGCAACAGTGTCTTTACGCAACGCGACTATGCACTCTTTAACGGCGCTAATTCTACCTCTTCTATTAGCAACAGTAACAATAACAATCCCTCTAATGCTTTCCTTTCATCTCGACTTAATCCGGTGAATAGTGCACAGCAAATGGTTCAACAGCCACCCGGCAATCTTCAGGCAAAATCACAGCAAACCTTCTTGCAACAGCAGCATCATCCGCAACATCATCACCAGTCCTTCAATTTGGGAATGTCATCCTCGCAGCTACCTCTGGATCAGTCACTCTACCTCGGAACAAGTGGAGGTGGACATGCCACCTATCCTGGAACTGGTAGCAGCCTACCCTCTGCTAGTGGTGGTGGCTCTTCCAACTACACTTTCTCCTCGGTCGGGAGAGTTTATCCACCTCTTCCTCAACGACAGCAACAGGAAGCTCAACCGCCTACATCTCATCAGCAGCCTACTCCGATTGGAGCTGAACGACGACGTCCTCAGGGTGTTTCAAACTCCGCTGGCGTTGTGACAACAACCACTGACGTAGCCGGTCAATCTGTGGGCTCTGCACAGAATGTCTTTAATCCGGTTGCAGCTGCAGCGAATCAAGCGTTTGTAGCACTTCTTCTCCAGCAACAGCAACAGCAACAACACCAGCAACATCAACAAACCTTGCAAGAGACTGCGGTTGGTGGCGGCTCCACGTGGCCGCAAACTTTGCAGTCGTTGCAGCATCAGGGCTCATTTTGGTCACAGGGTTTGTGTAAGTTTGCGCTCTCAAATCTTTAATAAGTTGTCTTTTAGAATCAGTCATATTTGTTGCGGTTCTAATTTTTTTGGAAAGAGAGGAATACGAATTGCTTTGCCGTTGTACTTTGTTTTAAACGACTTTTCTCATTCAAACCAAACGCTGCGCGGTTGTCAATCATTAGCCTCGTTCCGGCGAATGCAGGTGATACAATACAATCCCTACATCAGTAGTCTCGCTGCCATGTTTTTCTGATATGACTAATGTGTGTTAAGCAAGTGAATTTCGTCGACATTGTCGGCGGTGATTGCCGCTTTACTGACTTGTCGGCAATGGTTATTGCGCAAAGTTTGTTTTACCGAACTGGTTCAATTTTTGACCTTTCAACCGAGTGGTCTCGATTACCTAGCCTTTGAATTACCCTCGTTATGAAGTTGTTTACCTCACGACTCCCGTCGCCACCTAAACTGGGTTCAAGCGGTGACAAGATCAAGTAATTAATTGATGTTGGTTTTACGACTTGGAAGACTCCTTTAAGCTATAAATTCGACGGATCTCCTTAGTGCTTTAGTGTCATGGATTGTGATTTCATTAATGTATTAGCGTTTTGAATCAGTCATTTTCATTACTGGTCTAGTTTTTTTATATTGATGCGTCTGTACTTCTTGTCTCATTTCGCTAGTATCGAAGGCGTTGGGAGACCTTGGATTGAGCAACTTCGCTGTTGGCACACAGGATTTTTTTTCAAATTTAACGACTTCTAGAGTTGGTTGAATAAGTCTTATTGATATTTGTTTTTATTCAGCTGGAGGTCTAGGAGCTTCAAGTACACCATCGCAGCAGCAGCAGCAGCAGCAGCATCAGCAATCCCTGATGGCCAACACAGCTGCTGCCGTTGCCGCTTTGGCGAACCTTTGTCCTTGGCCCAGCCAACCAAGCGGTCCTGGTGGTGTCCCCTCCAATGGTTCGAGCATCAACAACAACAATGGTAACTCAGGTGCCACATGGATGATGTCTACCCCTTTCCATCAGGCCTCTCAGGCGACTTTCCAGCCGTCACAGTTGCGTTCTCAACCACCACAAGCGAACGCAGCTGTCGCATCTTCAATCCCCACGCCTCTGCAGCCACCATCATCCACCTCTGTTGTTGTTGAAGATCAGCAGGCACCTCCTCCCCCGCCACCAACGCAGCAGAAGCAACAGCAGTAGTGACTGGCCTCTTTCTCTCTCTCACCCTCTTTGTGTCCATTTTGGGTCCCTGTCCCTAATGTTTTTTTTGCGATTATTCTCTCCTACGTTTCTCGTGTGTGCGTGTGCGAGTGTTGGTTTGTTTGGTTCCCTTTTTTTCCGAAAAAAGACTGCTTCACCCACTTGATATACGAATGCACATTTTACACGCGTTTCTAAAATCGCCTTCCCTGCGTGGTTTGCATTGCTTTGGAGCCGTGGCCTGTGGTACTACTGCTGTCACACGGATGCTTCGTGGTGTTGGGAGGAGATGCTGATTCTACCAACTTGGCTTGTGATGGTGGTGATAAATTGATTAAGGCACTCTTCTCTCCTTCCCTCTATCTCTTCCTCTTTATTGTGAGGAACGAGAGCTTGAAGTGTTCTCTACCACCGTGACCATCTCCCCTTCTCTTGTCTCGATCACACTCACCCTCCCATTCACTCACCTGCTGAAGTCGAGCACCTCAATTTTGTCTCCTACTCCACGAGCTATTATGAAAAAGCAATGTATGGTATTGTAATATAGATCGCGTATTACTCGGAAGTCTTTTTCTTTGTTAACGTTTGCTCTCAATTCATTTTGTTCGCAAAGCATTCGACT